TTAACTCTATGGTCGATCAACTCCGAACATTTGCCTTTGAGGTTACTCGAGTTTCTCGCGAAGTCGGAATCGATGGCATCCTTGGCGGTCAGGCTGAGATACGTGAGGTATTGTTGCTCTTCCTGCGGTACTTCCAGGGTGCTTACAATAGTTTGCAAATTATAGGTGAAGGGAACATGGCGAGAGCTTACCGATAATGTGAATGCTATGGCTGCAAATCTCACAGATCAAGTGCGGAATATTGCGGCTGTCACTACAGCTGTCGCAGAAGGAGATCTTACCAAGAAAGTCAGCGCCATTTGTAAGGGAGAAATATTACAACTCAAGGAAACTATTAACAAGATGGTCGACCGTCTCCAAAACTTTGCCACTGAGGTTACAAAAGTAGCCCGCGAAGTCGGAACGGAAGGGAAGCTTGGTGGACAGGCTAGAGTAGAGGATGTGGAGGGCACTTGGAAATCCCTCACTGAGAACGTTAACAGTATGGCTCGCAATCTCACAACCCAAGTGCGCAGTATCGCTTCGGTTACAACTGCTGTGGCGGAGGGTAATTTGGCGAGGAAGATTGATGTGCACGCCCAGGGAGAAATTTTACAATTGAAGGAGACGATCAACAAGATGGTGGAACGGTTGCAGAATTTTGCCACGGAGGTTACGAAGGTCGCTAGAGAAGTCGGTACGGACGGAATTTTGGGAGGTCAAGCAAGAGTATGTTTAAATTTTTTGGAACGAAGACAGAACATTCTGACAAAAAACACAGGTACAAGACGTCGAGGGTGTCTGGAAGGATCTTACCGACAACGTTAATATCATGGCCAATAATCTTACTACACAGGTGCGAAGTATTGCAGATGTCACAACTGCTGTCGCCGAGGGTGATTTGAGTCGCAAGATTACTGTGCACGCGCAGGGAGAAGTCCTTGCACTAAAATCGACTATTAACAAAATGGTTGACCGACTTGAGGTATTTTCGAGAGAAGTCAAGCGTGTGGCAAGAGATGTGGGGATAGACGGAAAGTTAGGTGTTCAGGCTGAGGTGAATGATGTCGATGGACTCTGGAAGGAAATTACCAGCAATGTGAACACCATGGCACAAAATCTTACGACCCAGGTCCGAGCCTTCGGGTCCATCACTGCAGCGGCAGCTGATGGTGACTTCAATCGATTCATTACCGTTGAAGCTTCCGGCGAGATGGATGCCCTCAAGACTAAGATTAATCAGATGGTCTTCAATTTGCGTGACAGTATTCAGAAGAACACAGCGGCTCGTGAGACTGCAGAGTTGGCGAACAGAACTAAGTCTGAATTCTTAGCGAACATGTCTCACGAGATTAGAACGCCAATGAACGGTATTATTGGAATGGTATGAGACAATTCTACTTCTTGGATTCTTGAGATAGGACTGACACTTTTGTTAGACTCAATTAACCCTCGACACCGATTTAACCCAGTACCAACGCGAGATGTTAAACATTGTGCATAACTTAGCCAATAGTTTACTGACCATTATTGACGACATATTGGATATTTCGAAGAGTATATTCTCCCGTTTAGCCCTTTACTATGCCACTATTCTACAGACCCCCCCCCCCCCCCATTGCGCTATTTTCTCCAGTAACTGACGAAACATTGTAATGCAGTCGAGGCAAACCGTATGGTTATGGAAGAAATTCCATTCTCGCTCCGTGGAACCGTCTTCAATGCCTTGAAAACACTGGCCGTCAAGGCCAATGAACGATTTTTGGATCTCGTCTACTGTGTTGACAATGTTGTTCCCGATCACGTGGTTGGAGATTCCTTCCGTTTAAGACAGGTTATTCTTAACCTTGTCGGAAACGCCATCAAATTCACTGAGAGCGGGGAAGTCAAATTGACTATCCGTCAAACCGACCAATCACGTTGTGCCGAGAACGAGTACTGCTTCGAGTTTTCAGTTTCCGACACCGGGATCGGAATCCAGTCAGATAAACTCGATCTGATCTTTGACACTTTCTGTCAAGCCGACGGCTCTACAACTAGGAAGTTTGGTGGTACAGGTCTTGGCTTATCAATTTCGAAACGTTTGGTAAATCTTATGGGTGGTGATGTTTGGGTCAAGAGTCAGTATGGTCAGGGTAGTACTTTCTACTTTACATGCATTGTTCGCCTTGCATCAACAGATCTTGGTGGAATTATGCCCCAACTCAAACCCTACAAGGGTCATCACGTTCTCTTCATCGATAAGAACCGTGAAAATGCCGCTATTCCCGAGATGTTGAGAATGCTCGATTTGGTACCGATTGTCGTGCATTCCGCAGAGGACGCACCGTTGCCGGATATGAATAACGGAAGGAAGGGTGTGATGTACGATGTCATACTTGTTGACTCTATGGAGACTGCCTTGAAGTTACGGACATTGGACGACTTTAAATACATTCCACTTGTACTCCTCTGCCCGATAATCCAGGTCTCACTCAAGTCTACACTCGACTTGGGTATTACTTCTTACATGACCACCCCATGCCTCCCAATCGATCTGGGGAATGGCATGATCCCTGCTTTGGAAGGAAGAGCTGCGCCTTCGGTTTCTGAGAATTCAAAATCCTTCAACTTGCTATTGGCGGAGGACAACATTGTCAATCAGAAGTTAGCTGTGAAGATCTTGGAGAAGTATCACCATACTGTAGAGGTTGTTGAGAACGGTTTGCAGGCTCTCGAAGCTGTCAAAAACAAGCGATACGATGTAATATTGATGGATGTACAAATGCCTGTTATGGTAAATAAGCCTCCTTTCAAACTATAGTCTTTAGGTGTTCTGACACGTTTGTCTCTAGGGTGGCTTTGAAGCAACTGCGAAGATTCGCGAGTATGAGAAAGAGGCCGGGTTGTCAAGGACACCCATCGTTGCCTTGACGGCTCATGCCATGTTGGGTGATCGAGAAAAGTGTATTCAGGCTCAGATGGACGAATATTTGTCCAAGCCCCTGAAGCAGAATACACTAATACAAGTCATCCTCAAGGTAATAACTCGAAATGGACGTTACCATCCAGAGGGAATTAGGGACGGAACTCCGAGCAGACTTACTAACATCGGAACAGTGCGCGACTCTTGGAGGTCCACTTCTGGAAAGAGGCAGCGGACTACTATCGTCGATACCGGACGACAGCGAGCGGGTGAACAGAGTCATAAACGGAGCAAACATGACCAGGAGTCGGCCGCCACTGGAGCCCCGGGCGGTGACAGTAGCAGTCTCGACCCCAGCGCCAGCCAACCCGCAGCAGATAATTGAGCTAACAGACGATGATGCGATCGAACATGAGCGGGTGAGCCAAGACGTAATGGTTTTCTTGTGATGGAAACCCTAAGTCTCTGATCGCAGGCTAAAATAATAGGTCGCTCCCTGTAGGCACTGTATCGATCGCACAGCAGCTGAGAGGAGAACAGAAAGTCAGATGTGGATTTGGAAATGGTTAGGATATCGTTGATTTGTACGGGATCTATATAGTTACATGCAGGAGAAAGACCTATTGGGTGGCGAGTCCATTTTGCGTTTATTTACGACGAGGACCCTTACTTGGCCCGTCGCTGCGGGACACCGTCGGACGAGGGGTTTTCATCGGCATTTCAAAAGCGTTCTTTTTTCTTACATCGCCTCCTTCCGGAAGATCCTGCGAAGGTGACTGTGGCAAGTGGGGTGGGGCAAAAATTTCGGCGGCAAAGTGTTCTGGACGGTTTATTTTCCCTTTTGTTTATCTACTCATTGGGTCGGTGACGTGCATGACTTAAATGGGGGATGATGATATCCTTGCATGTGGTCTGCGTCTTATCTGTTTTTTTTGTCATTGTTGTGCGGTTTTATGGTGTGGTTTTCGGTTGGTAGGGTCTGTTGAATTTGTTTAGTTCCACTTTGTTTTTTTCCCACTGTTTTTCAATATTTTTTGCGATTAGTACAGGGTTTTTGTGTTCTTTTACTGGATATTTGGTTGTTTTTGTTTTGCTCTATTTTGTCCTGACGCTTGAAATATTTCATGTTCTCCAATATACCTCTGCATTTACTGTTTTGGTTTGATTATTTTCTATACTCTTCCCATAGGGTGGAGACATATATTGCATATCTCTGCTTTACATCGACCATGATATTAGCATTGGGTCGTATCTATTTGTGACACTAAATGTGCCCTTTTTTTTTCCTGCCCACAACACCTACATTCGAGGAGGATAAAATGTCTGGGAAACTTGTGATGAATTTAGGTTTCCTTTAAATCTTGTCATTCAGTATACATACCAAGTCTTGAATTTTGTTCTTAAATCACCTTGGCCTGCTTCGAATATTCGTAAAACGTCAACCCAAATAGGGTATCTTAGTGCATCCACCTCCTATATATCGTTTCAGAATATGCCAGTACAGACTGGCTAACTCATACAGCGAAAGCTTGCTATAACGGTACGCTCGGGACCGGAATTTGGTACCGTTATAGAGAGATTACCCTTATATAGGAGGTGCTGGTGCTGAAAGCCAGGCAAAAAGGACCGAGAAGTGCTACCGTTATAGAGATTTTACCCTTATAGAAAATACCGTTATAGCAAGCTTTCGCTGTAACTTTGAGGGAGAATATCTAGGATCTACTGGATTTATAGAAGGGTCCGTAGGCGAACTGTATGCACCCCGATCAGACTAAACCCCAAACGGCACCGCAAGAAACCTGATGTAGAAAACGAATGATTTAAGCTCAAAGGGCTTGGATGATAATGATTTAACACTATGTGTTGGAATTATCAAGACAAGTGGGCTCTCATCTCTTGGTATAAGATTCTACTATATAGACCATTCAGAAGAGAGTCATACCAATGATACCTTGGTCATACAACTGGACGTAAATATATTCTTTATCTAGACATGTCACTGGATGAAGACATATCGTCCACTTTTTACAATGATGGAAGTGCCCGGTACTGCCTAGGCGTGCACGCATCCATTGCAGTTCCCATTCTGATAGAACGAATCGAGGACTTCGACAATTTAGTTCTTTTCTCCCCCTTGCTCTCTGGTGAGCTCATCACTATAAAACAAGCGTTAGTGAACTTGCCCATGGAACTGAGAGTTAGAGAAGTTTACATATGAGCATCCAGTTCATCGAGATGCTTACGCTGCTGCTTCAACTTTTCTTTGAGTTGGAGCTATATGAGAGATCAGCAATGCAAGTTGAATGAAGAAGTAGCTGAGATACATACGAGTTTTACTTTCTCCTGCTGACGAACGTAGAAATCCTCTGCAGCCTTCTCACGTTTGGTGAAAGCATCACTGAAAGCGACTATATGTAAGTTAATGCTCTCTATACTTGGTCCGCCACTGATTGATCCCCTTCATGATCTGAATATCACCATTGAGAAAAGAGTCCACTCACCCAGCAGCCTCACCGGCTGGACGCGAAAAGCCGCTTCCAGTAGACCCCTCAGAGGAGTAAGGTCGGGCAGACATAGTGATGGCTGATACGCGATTAATGCGAAGAGAGCGAGCGATGGTTGTACGAAGCATTGTTTCTATCGTTGGCGATAAATGATTGATTAAAGAAAATGGATATATGTGGATGGATGTCTTCTTTAAATCTCGGGAGGTCGTCGGGGTCGTGGTGCGTGCGACCGAGCGATCAGGCCATGCGCTGGTGAGCCCCACCCCACTTCTCCCCGAATTGTATAGATTTGCTTGCAGACTGCCTAGGACATAGATGGGATCAGATTATCACCATGTTTGGTGCTCCCAACTCTATCTTTGTTTATTTTTATTTTTTATTTTTTTACCTCTCATGAGTTGAGTTTCCTCTGGGCCTGAGGCTCCCGTTCCTTGTTTTCTTTAACCCACGGTTGCACCTGTAACAAAACGTCATGGCCACGAGCCTCATTGATACCGGGCTCATAACGAGTTTACAGGTGAAGGGGTGTATTTTTACGAAATGGTCCACAATCCATCTCAAATCATTGGTGGAAAGAGGAAGCAGCTTTCCTAGCTAGGTGCAAGGAATGCATTCCGGTGTGTACAGGGTCTTCCTTTGGTTTCTTGTTTTTTCTTCCTTTGCTGCCCAAGGGGAATCAGTACATGTAGCTTTGAAGAACCTCAAGTCTTTACACTCAGACAACAACCAGACCATGCGGTCAAATGTGCATAGGTACATGTATCTACAGTACCGTAGACATATGTCTACAGACTTGCCCTAACTAGGAGTCGTTGTCGCCATGTCTGGAGTTTTGACAAGACGCAAATCGGACATAATTTGCAGCAATTTACAGGTCCCAAATTGGTAGGGATCGGCATACCTTGGTTGTTGTCTCCTTTCCCTCTGCCGCTCTCGCAACGCAACTAGCCCACTTTCCCTCCCACCTAACACATCATCGACGACCATCTACCTTCTCCCCCCTCAATCTCCTTCCTCCATATCTGCACCTTCAACTGCTATCACTGTTCATCATCCACTATCACCTTCCTCTCTATTGCTTTCAAATCCACCAAACACTTTAATCGAGAATTCAAGGTAAATACTCATCTCCTCTATTGAACTTGCTCTATTCTTTGCATCTATTTCCCCTTTTCTGGTATAGAAGAGCTTCATCAGGGGCCCAGAACTCTTGGGAGCACTTGCAGGCCCCATGAACTCTAGAAGAAGCTTTATTGCAAATGGCAGATAACATCTTCCTCTACTGCGAGTTTTCCTATTTCGTTACTGTTATCGGGAAAGCAGCATAGAGCGGGGTTGCGGATGCTCCTTTGCTATCAGCACCACCCATAACTTTACTTTATCTCAACCTACCCATTCCTTTCGTTCCATCCCATCTATGTTTTCTGTAGGCTTTATTGGATGTAATTTTCCTATCAAATTCATACCCGTTGTTGTCATAGCGAGCTGTTTCTGCTTCTGTTGATTTTTATCTATTTGGTTATACCTTTACCCCTCTGCAGCCTATAAAATGGGTCGTAGTAAATGTCTTTGGAACCTGCTATAGGACTTCTACTAACTAGATCACAACACAGAATTTTAAAAATGGGCTACGAAGACTCAGTTTACCTGGCCAAGCTTGCCGAGCAGGCGGAGCGCTATGAGGGTCAGCAGCCCCAAACATATCCTACACATCTTTACCAGTTCAGATTGCTGAAAATATCGCAGAAATGGTTGAGAACATGAAGAATGTTGCTTCCGCTGATCAGGAGCTCACCGTGGAGGAGCGCAATCTTCTTTCCGTAGCTTACAAGAACGTCATTGGTGCCCGACGTGCATCTTGGAGGATTGTAACCTCCATTGAGCAAAAGGAGGAGTCCAAGGGCAATGAATCTCAGGTTACTTTGATCAAGGAGTATCGTCAAAAGATTGAGGCCGAGTTGGCCAAGATCTGTGAGGATATCTTGGAGGTTCTCGACAAGCACCTCATTCCCTCTGCCCAGTCTGGTGAATCTAAGGTCTTCTACCACAAGATGTAAGCACTACATATTTGGCCTGGTCAGCTCTATGAAAGTTAACGGAAGTCTAGGAAGGGTGATTACCACCGTTACCTCGCCGAGTTTGCTCTCGGTGACAAGCGCAAGGAATCTGCCGACAAATCATTGGAGGCCTACAAGAACGCAACTGAAGTCGCGCAGACTGACCTTGCCCCCACTCACCCCATCCGCCTCGGATTGGCCCTCAACTTCTCTGTTTTCTACTACGAGATCCTGAACTCCCCTGATCAGGCTTGCCACCTTGCTAAGCAGGCGTTTGATGATGCTATCGCTGGTATGTCTACTATGTCTACCAAAATGCATGATACAATTTGCTGATAAATTTGTAGAGCTTGATACCCTGAGTGAGGAGAGTTACAAGGATTCTACCTTGATCATGCAGTTGCTACGAGACAACCTGGTTAGTCCCTCTAAATCCTTTTAACAATGAATTTATGCTAACATCTACAAGACCCTTTGGACTTCATCCGAAGCCGAGGCCGACCCTGCCCCGGAGGCAAATAAGGAAATGCCCGATGCCCCTGCGGCCGCACCTGCGACTGAAGGGAAGACCGAGGCCAAAGAATAAATTTGAACAAAGAGATGGGATACTTGGCGGGAGAGCAGGCAAAAGTAAGAGATGGGATCATGGCTATAAAAGGTCAAATGGGTCGTGAAATTAGGTTGTGATAGCCGGCCTCCAAATATCCTTAGTGTTGAAATCTTCATTCCTCTTATATGGTCCCACAAGCTCTCAGTCTTTTTTCTTCTTTCTTTGCCGTTTGGTTCAATTGAAATAGTTCCTTTTTAACCCTTGACTTCCGCTTCTTTTTTCTTTCTATTTCCTTTTTTTGCCTCCTGGTTTTACATGGCATGGTTTGTGCGACGTGCAGGTTTGTCTACTGTGCTTTTGGCATGGTTTGTTTCTGATCGTACGGGAATTCCTGTGCTGTAGAATTGATACAGATTCCCACGCTCTTCTCGCAAGTATTCCTTAGTGGGTATGGAATTTGATCGCGCCGGAAACCGTAATGCTTATGACGATTTTCAAAGGATAAGAAATCCAGTACTGAACAAAATATGCCCACTAGTAGCGATAGGTATAGTACGTACAAGGCTCTGGGATTAAGTGAGCGAACGGATCCACACCAGTCAACACCCCATTTAGTTCACTCACTTAATGCCATGTACTCGCGTGTAGGGGAAAGAACCAGAAAATGCAAATCCGTATTTTGTATGGCAGATCAGCGCTGTACGCGAGTAGATACATTTATCTGTCTTCCGAAAACAGTAGGCATTCATGCAAGGGTAGTGATGACTAATTCTAAGTGGATTCTTATCATTGGTCCCCTCTGCAGGCAGGGATAGACTACAAAAATTGGAGCAAAACTATGGACCCTGTGAGTTGCTTGGTCAATGATATTTATTCAACTATCAAAAGCATATGCGATTTTGTTTATTTTAATTCTGTTGCACATAAAATAAAGCTTATCGATACATGTACGTATCATAGTGCTCGTAGACACCTATTGAAAGCGTATGTATCTTACTACTGCCAGGCCATCCAGTAGTATTATACGCCGAGTAGGGTATGTACATGTACCTACTAAGACATAATACAAATCTCCAATGTCACTCCCACAATTTAATTTATTCATCTTCCCTAATTAATCAAATATAAACTTAGAGAACTTACAAGATAATGCTTTATTGGGGTAATGGAAAATACTGCAGTGTTCTAATGGCCGTATAGTAGCTAGAAACGTGGCCTACAGCTTGCTTCTAATGCGAGTCCTTGGGATGCTGTATATTTTCCAGAGCCAAAGAAAGGTGTCATCCAAAGTATGCGTCAAGTAACGTAATCAGTCTTGGCACTGATTATGTTTTAAAACCACTTTTTATCGTGTAATCTTGTAAATCAATCAATACAATTTCTTCACGTAATACACTGTTTTATCCTTCACGGATTCTTGTATTACAAAAGGAATATATCTGTAGCTATTAATATATTACGAGTTAATTTGCTTTCTTGAGAATCTTGGCATGTTGACCACCTGTGCATATTCTTGGCAAGCATTAATATATATGTGTACTATGTATGCACTGACGTCTCCTCCATTGGAGCACCCTCGTACCGCAACGACATTGTACGTGGGCCAAGAAATACTCTAATTAATGAGAGGGTTGACTATTTGAGAATTGCATAGCTAATATGATAAACCCTAATTTCCTTAAAAAAAAAAAAAAAAAAAACTCACCGTGCGCGTAGCACAGTCTAGTTCTAGTTCCTAGTATATATATAAAGTACATTAGGTTATATACAGTAACTCCGGGTAATGACTAATAAGCGTCTAATTTTATCTTCAACCTAGATGTTTTTACAATAGCTTCAGAGCGTTAAACTCATATGATATTATCTAGGAGTACAAGGCTTGCTATCCAGAAAGAAAAAACGTCACACCCATTGCGCGTCACACGAAGATATGCATTTGCTGCACTGAAGTTGAGAAAAGCTAACTAAACTCGTCTGGGTTTTAATTGCTTATATTGCCTCTCTGGGGAATCTGCTCTCCCCTTCGGAGATACATTATCTATTTTTGGTGAGTACTACATGTAACTCCTCGATACGTAAAAAACCGTAAACCACTCACAGGCCTGTAATTATTAGGGAATATCAGAATCCTCTATCTCTTGAGGGATCGAATGTGTTGAATAGTCATCCGAGAATTCCCTAGATTTATAAAAGGCCGCCCATTTGGTATGGCTTCTGATGTCGCAAATTCTTAAGTTTTGTGCTGATGATACTGCATCACCACATGTACATCCTGTGTGATGGCACTTTGTGTACAGCGGTGGGTAATAAGTCATCAGACGGAACGCCACCAAAATACGCGTTTGCAGGCAAAATTGTGGCTAGGTCGTCCGATGACTTATTACCCACCGCTGTACCTTGGAGGTATCAAAAATACAGTTGATAATGTGTAGAAAGCAGTATGGACCATCTTCCATATGAATTGCCACAGAACGTTGGTATGTGACTATCTATAAAGATCAGCTTCTACTATAGGTATTTTTCAATTATTTTTTAGCATAGAATCATGAACGGTCATTCGATTCTTAACGCCAATTGGACGCGATCGTCTGCCCAAAACCGAGTTACCAAAAAGAAAGAAAGCAAATAACGAGTATGAATGAGGGTTTCCAACATTTTTAAACTGCATCGTGTATAGAACTGCAAGCACAGATACGCCACTAGCCTCGCTGGAAATCTACTGTGATACGAAGTCCCCTGGTTTCTCTAGAGACCTGGCATCGAAGGGTTTCAATATGTAACGCTGACCGATTGTTTTTTGAAGTTTCTCTTAAACTGCCAGATAGACGTGTAGGCACCCGGCACAATACAGGGGTTTGCTGAGTTATTAGCTTTTTTCTTCTTTAACTGCGGACTGCAGCTGCATTTAATCGTCACACATCCCGGCATCTATAAAGAGAAAGCGATACTAATAGACATGGTGAAGTGGTGTGAACCACCAACATATCATGTTGTGTAAATGTGGTACCCGCATGAGGTGTGGAACATGTGACTTTTTCTTTCATTTGTTTTTATGCAGGCGCCAACTTTTTGGAAATCTGAGACTCCGATCCGAGGCGAGAAATGCTAAACGGACTGCTAGGCGGCGCATACATATGATATGGCACGGACGGCTGAACTTCACCTTTTGGTGGTGAGTTGACAACCTATTAGGTACCGAGGCAGGTCGGAATGCAAGAAGACAGGCCGCCCGAGTATCCACTGCCTATCGTAGTGGGGCCGAAAAGACCATACATTCGGATTATCGACTACAGACTGTCGACAATTAGGGTTGTTATTGGTGACTTACAAAAGAGGTAAATCTGTCCCGAGCATGGTTTGTCAATGGGACTCGAAGCTGGGTATCGATCAGAAGTATGCAAGAGTAAGCTTATTCGACAAGGAGATCTCTATGGATAGTGAGTAGCTGATTGTTCACTAACCGCAGTGCCCATTGGAATTATGTTTTAGCTATGATGTAGCTGCAGGCTTCATAAAATACCCATAGATTGGTCGATGCCTACCATACAGTACCTTCCCAAGATAGGATACATTGTTCACGAACCACTCATTGTAGTAGGTCCGGGGCCATTTCAAACATGTGGCTGTGCGTTTCAAGCAGATTTCTGGGAAAGCTTGACAGTCGGAAAGTTGCAGTGAGATCTTGCAATCCAGGAACTTGGGGTACTTACAGTACACTTAGATATGGTGCCAACGGGAGGATCTCAGGAAACAAACGCCTTGTTGCTCTGTGCTGCGAGCGAAATACCGAGTCGGGAACGCAGTCCCGCTCGGACAGCCATGCTTATCATCGCTATTTGACGGTATGTATTGTCTTTGCCGCCACACAAATTAATCGTGCGGAAGCTCGACCGGCGATCTTGTATGCAGTCCCTTTAGTTTTCTTTTCATTAACTTTCCTTTCATCCAATCTTTCCATGATGGGTGCCACACATAATTCAGGGAGGAGCAATTGGTACGGCCAAATCCGGTTGCGCACACTCTTACCTCAGGGGGTTGAACCTTGTCTTTCCCCAGATTGCGAATAAAGAGGCAGATCTGATATGCGTATGACCTGACGTCTTCTCGCCTGTTGCTCAATGGGTTTTCCCTATTCGCAACCAAATATCTTCATCATTGGATTGCAAGGAGAAGGGATACTCATGGATTTGGGGATGCGTTATCTGCTCAATCCACTCTGGGTTCCGGTGCATCGGGTGGGTCTCAACTGCCCTCAATTTTTGGCCCGCGATCTTTTTCTTTTTTATCCCGCTTTGGATGACTCTGGGGCTCTCCAACCACTAAATACGGAAATGGGGCATTCCCTCCACATCCTACTATCTCTTGGTCGGCCTCTAATTGACAAGCACGAACGGTAGGAAGAGGTTGTTCTTCGTTAAATCGAATTTTATATTGAATGGCTCTTGGGTTTGTGTGCTCAGGCCTAGATGTTCTGATCCCAAAGGGCAGCATTCCATTCGGCGCCACATCCAACTGCTTGTTCGCTATCCATCATTTTCGGCACTCATCACTGCTCTCTTCCGTGGTGTTCATCAAGAATGGATGGCCTGCCTCCATCTACCTCGTGTTTTATATCATAACTAGACATTTATGATGAACAAACCTTCACTCTCTCATTTAGCTTGTCCCAAATTTCCCAAAGGTGTAGAGTACTTAAGTGTTTTCAAAACTAAAAGGGAAGGATCGTTCCCTGCCGGGCCCTGCAGCAATCGGAATTGTTCGACTAAATAGGTCAGGCAGCTTGTTTTTTATTTTATTTTTTGCGTTCAAATTTGGGGGGGGGGGGGGGGGGCATCTGCTCTGGACGGAGCACTCTCCATAGCATACCAATCTTCTTTTGTGTGTACATATGTACGACGACTAAGACAGGCGCACTACCAATTACACGGTGTGGTCACCATGTGCCTGACTTACTGAAGTGAAATTCGGTTTGATTTCGCGGGCAAAGAAGAAGATCCAGATGAAAGTCTTCCTCCCCTAAGGCCACGGAGAGTTAGATACCCCTACCCTAAACTCTCCACCTCCTGTGTAAAGGTGGCCCTCGGCCAGCCAATCCGTCAATTTGTCTGTCAACCCGAATCCTGTTCGACCACGCGCGAAACAAAAAAAAAATTCTTCAAATTAGCTTTTCTAGGCACCGAACCTAAAAGGTGACCCCCCAGACAACCCAGCTCCACCATCATAGGCTACATAGCGCACACGCACCCGCCCTCATACATACATATTCTGCTCTACATCTAGTAGTATCCTTTAGTCCAGGCTACGCCCCACCACCATCCACATCAACCCTATTTTATCTCTCGTCTCCCCTCTCTGTCACCCCCTCTTCATCTCGGATTTCTATCACCATCTTCGACAAACGTCGTTACTTTGAGAAGGATATTTGCAGGGTGCGGTAGTGGAAGGAAGTGAGTGAGTGTTGAGAGTGTGAGTGAAGCTGCGAGAGTGTAATGAGAGTCGTGTAAGCGGAAGTGCTGAGTAGGGTGTTGGGAGTAGAGTCACAAAGAATCGTTGATTAAAGGTACGGGCCTTTTTTCTCCCCCATGTTTTTTTTGTTTCCCTTTCATCATCACATCCATTTCCAAGAGACTGATCTCACATTCTAGGACCTATAAAGAACCTACCGAATTTCTTATATAAATTTTCAAATTTATCATCATGTCGTCGTTGTCTCGCAGAGCCTGTTACAAGTCAGTCGCCCCTCACCTTCACGATTATCAACATGACTCTCTATTGCATTTTATCTGTTCTAACGTGTCCATATCTTGTTCAGGTGCGGATCTATCGGTCACTTTGCCGAAGTTTGTTCATCGGCAGAGCGCCTTTGTTACAACTGTAAGAAATCCTCTTCACTGATAAAATTTTGCAGTTCCTCCACAATTCAACAATGCTGACGTGTTTTACTGGGATATATAGGCAAGCAGCCGGGTAAGCGTTCTTTTAGTAGCAGGGATATTTTTCTCTAGGTCTTAATGTTTAAATAACTCAACAACAAACAGGACACGAATCCAACACATGTCCCCACCCTAGGACCACTGAGACCAAGCAGTGCTACCACTGTCAGGGACTTGGACACGTCCAGGCTGATTGTCCTACGTTGAGACTCTCAGGAGCTGGCGGTGGAAGGTGCTACTCATGCGGCAACCCAGGCCATCTGGTATATAATTCCCTTTTTTTCTTCTTTTTCTTTTTTCTTTCCCACATCATGATTTTCAGTTTAATGCTAACAGAATGGGTTTTACAGGCCAGAGCTTGCCCTACTCAGGGAGCTGGTGCCGGAAGGGGAGCCGGTGGCTTCCCCCGGGGCGGATATGCTGGAGGCTTTCCTCCTCGGGGTGGATTCCCTGGGAACCCCCGTCCTGCCACTTGCTACAAGTGTGGTGGTACGTTACAGCTCAATAATTTATAAGGCTCTACTATTGCTTATCAGATTTAGGCCCAAATCACTATGCTAGGGACTGCCAAGCCCAGGCAATGAAGTGCTATGCTTGTGGGAAGTTGGGACACATCAGCCGGGATTGCCAAGCACCTAACGGTGGTCCATTGAGCACTGCTGGAAAGTCATGCTACAGATGCGGCGAAGCCGGTAAGCCAGGCTCAGGAGCATATATAAGACTTCTGTGCTAATAATCCTTTTAGGTCACATCTCTCGCGACTGTCCTCAGCAGGCGATTGAGCAGCCAGACCAGGCTCCCACTGTCAACTCTACAGTCGTCGCTTAAATATCTTGAGATATTTACTTTTTCTGACCTAAAAATGGAACTACATATTTCGTTTGTTATATCGGAACATGGAAAACCGATTCTATGGATTCTGACTACTTAGCCCCCAGATTTACTGCTTTTTCATGGAACTTGCAATTAGGATCGGATCTGTTACTTTATTGCTCCGGTTTCGTTAGGGCAACGGGTTTTCTTTATGTTTTCCAAGGGTTGATTAGGACTTCTTTTCATTGTTCATATTTTTATACTTCCATCGTTGAATTTCTTTCCACGCATCGTGGCAGCTGTGATAAGTAAAGGTGAATTTTTGTCTGGGCTAGGAGCGTTGGAAAGACAAAATGGGAATAATACCATAAAGGATCGATTTTGTCGTAGTATCTACATTCTCCTAGGGCCAAGATGTAAGAACTCAAGTCTAAAAATTGAGAAGAAAGATCTACATGCATAGCCGATCTCTCCAAACTAGGTGAAATGATTACTATAACGAGTAATGAGTGATTTATCATGATTGAAACAACAGTTTCTATTTACATACTTCCAACGCGCGTGAGATCTCAGATTATTACTTTGACTCAGCAAATACATTACCTACGCAGTTATTTTCTTATACATCGAAAATCGTACGAGCACTGCAGGGAGAGCGACAAAAAACAAAGGGGGGCTTGGTCGCACAGCAGAGCTGAATGTGAACACGCGACAGTGATTCAAACTCCATGCATAGTTTTAATTAATTTGTTGCGCGAAGCGTCCCAATAGAAAAAAGATCTGGGGCGAAGCTTTCCCGAATCCCCGGGTATTGACTTGCGCAACAAAAGCCACGCTGTGGATAAGTAATTAGCTTGGGTGAGCTTAAATGGACGTCTAGTGGAGTACATAGGAGAGAGCGCGTATATCCTTCTCTAGGAACAGATCCACTCAAGAAATACCACTGTACAGATAGAAAGCTACGTGTATATATATTAAAATTTCTTCAATACATATACGTCTGTTTGCCATTACGTATACGGCCTGAGTTATTTTCAACCATTCCTTTTCTTATTTAGCAGCTTCGGGATCATTGATTCCTCTTTATAATATTTCCCACATTTAGTATACGCTTTAATAAAGCAAGGGAAAGCATTTGGGAGAAGACGAACCCATTAGTGATAACGTAAGTCGCCTCACGCTCTGGGCAATCCGGGCTATCTTGCAGCTTGGCGACACGCTCTTCCCCGCGACCTTTACGCTGTGATAGGGTTAGTAAAATTGGAGAAACTCGTAACGTATGGGTAATAGCATAAAGAAAATATGATGGGCCAAAACCAAAAGAATCCGAGTAGCTGAGGCATGTGCGAGAACGTGTCTTTGGATAATTACTCATTAGTTAATTGATAAAACCCAAATTGCAAAACTCGGGGGAGGAGCGGTTCCTTTACCCGCCAACTGTTGGTTTTTATTGGGTTATTCCATTATTCAATAAAAGCCTTCGATATTTATTAAGGGAGCATACCTGGTTTACGCCTATTTATTAATTAGTAATGAAGCATCCCCTACGTATTTCTATCAGGTACTTACCCATCTGCTCCAGCAAACAAAGCACTAGCACCCGGATCACTTTGAACCTGATTGGTCTATATCCATGCTTAGCAATTAAGACCATGTGTATATAAACGAATCTCACGAGTGATACCAAAAGAACCGCAACATTAAACTCTTCAGCCATATGAGCGAGCTTTGACAGCATCTGCCCGAGCTTTTGTTGACGTCTGTCCCAAAATCCAGTTATTAATAAGAAAACAAAAATTTGGGTATGACCTACTCTGAAAGTTCCCCACGGCCGCAATAGTCCACACGAAAACACGCCATGATACTGTCCACGATCTCTTACTCTGAGAATCCATGAGATCAATCTCGGATGAGGATGTCACTACTCACCAACAATCTAAATTCACCACTAGCAAAGTTCTGGCAAAGTCCATTCAGAAGTTCTAGCTGATGTTCCGAGTTCAATGCCCTTCCGTAGATTATATTCTCACATGCCGCATCACCATCAACACCAAACCGTTCACTGATCTGTTTGATTCGCTCTGGGCGGAACGTTCCCTCGGTGTCAATATACGCCACCTTACCTTCTGCCCCACCGTGATCCTTTGGTAGTTGGCATATCACTGCTGTGGTCATTGAGAGTTGGGATTTCCCTGTGCGAAATTCGCCGAAGACTTCGGTTATTGACATAGTTTGAATGCCACCACCAAGCATCGAGTCGAAGCTTTTAGAACCTGTAGAAATGCGGCATACTCTACGGCGGAGGTGGCCAAGCTCAGAAGCAGTAATAAAGTTGTAGGATGCGGGCTACAATACGTTAATACCTTAAAATCTAAAGAGGGTGCGTAGGTATTGAAGGGTCGTACAGCGCACTTGACAGCAGCTTCTTTGACCTTCTCTGTTTTTTGCTCGGAGAAACCTTATGAGAACAGAAGCAATTAGCCTCTCGAGAGTACCGAGAGCTATAATGTGATGTACTAACCTTTAATTTTCGAGATGTTCCTGCGAGTAGCAGCACAGACAGCCTTATGGGTATTTAGTAGGATGATTTGGCTATCAGGTGGTGCTTAGGTAGGTGTTTACTGCAATTGTCCAGTACCCCGCTGATTTCAACTTCGAAATATCGCTTGCACCAATACCTGTGTCGTATTTATCTCAGCAGAAGTGGAAGGCAAAATTTCTGTGGGGTGGGGGTTAATGTACCATGATTCTGCAACTGATCAACGTCCATGATAAAATCAACATCCTATGGTATTCATCAGTGAGCTGAGCAGATAGCTATTATATTAGCATATATTGTCCTACTAACATCATCACCAAAGTCCTCAGTGTTTGCCATGTGTCTAAGAGAATGACAAGCTCTCAATGTTATAGTGTTTATTGCTGGGGTATAGAGCAAAAATTATGCGCAGAGTTACGAGATGAAGGTTGATATATGTCAAAGAGTGATGGGGATTTGGAGGGATTTATACTCCTCTGCAGCTTGATGATGTGCACAAGCCATGACGCTAGGATACATGTAGTCAGACTTTCAATTAGGCTTTTTTTCTAAGTACCAAGTGTTGACCGCGTCATTGCCATAGCCGTAAGGTTGCATGCAATTAATGAATTAAACAAAAGAAAAGTGTTGACCGCGTCATATTATATCACTCGGCCGACTTACACTAGCTTATGTTTTTTCTTTTTTTTCTTTTTTTGTTTAATTCACACTAGCTTATGTTGGTTTGATTGGTTGATTATTTCACTAAGTACATGCAGCCCGAAGGCTATGGTTTATGTTGTTGATCCATTTATTGTGTTCGTGGAGGAACTGATCCACCCATTTAGTACATGCAGCCTTCCGGGTATGGTCACTTGCGGAGGAGGCTCTTAACAGAGATAAAGTTACTTTTCCTAAATCTAAAAATGAATTATACAAGTTTTAGCATCCAAAACACCACACGATAAGTTTTTTTCTTTTCCTTTTTCTTCATAGATGATATTATATTACAACGGCTAAGTGATCCACATCAGTTTATATTCTGATCCAGGAGGAGAGCTCACTTACTTTGAATTTCCTCATGTTTTTCCTCTCGGCGACCTTTTTCTTATCCATCTCGAACTTCGCCAGCAACTGTTGATGCCTTTCTTTCCTGACCTCCCTGGTCTGGAATCTATAGAAGTTCTTGGGGGCTTCTTTCTCTCCCTTCTTCTTTGCAAGAGCCGCCGCCTCTTCTTGTCGAGCGGGAGCGACCCTCCCTCCTCGAACCACAGTAATAAAACCATCCTCATCAGGCTCCTGTCTCCGTCGGGCTAGGGCACGGGCATTCTCAGCCTCTTGTTCGTTGAAAATAGTCATAAAGGCATCGATTGAAGATTGCAACTCTATCTTGGAAGGGAAACGAAGATTGTGATGTGTCAAATAGCCTATAGGGTATATATTATATGTCAGCTATAGTGCAATAAAATCAGAGCAACGAATTCTTTTGATGGATGGCTGACATACGTGATATCCCTAAAGCCGGTATTTTGTTCGCATCGCTGATGCCCTCTCCCCAAACTGGGACTTCACCTTGCTTCTTGCCCTTAGTCGCCTTAGAAATAGCTTTGAGCGTTATTTCAACACTCGCCTTATCCACGAACACCACTACTGCTGTTGAGCCAGATCTCCTTAGCTTCCTATCCCATGTCATTACCGTAGCGGCAGCTTCAACATCTGCATCGTCAACACGTTTCCGCTTCTTTGACTCTGCGGGTGCAGCTTCCTCTCTTCTCTTATTCTTATCCTCTCCATCGAAGACAACGCTATCAACCATTCCACCACCAATTCTCAAAAACAGTCCTCTCAGGTGCGCTTCTGTTGAATCGATTGGAACATTAACGGCAAATAACGATCTCGAATCGCTAGGCGTAGCGACTTTAGGTGCGTGTCGGCGGAGATAGAGATAATGTAAGGTTGATTCCACTATTCTGTCCGGAAGTTTTATGGGAAGGACGAGATATTCGTTTATTTTGGTGGGTGTTTTAGACATTTTGACTTGTTGTTGGTTGAGTGAAGAGGCTCAAAGGTTTTTTTACAGGGTGTTGTAGTAGTATGAGTTGAATGGTCACGTGAGCCAAGATTTCACTACAACTAGTACACACACACTAAGGTCCTGGCAATTTTCGCTTCCGGCCTATATATACATGTATGTACATGTATACACAGCAAATCGTCCCTAACATTTTTTATAGCAAGTAATATTTTGGTATAAAGAGGTTAGCGTATGCTCTATGTGCTGTTTCTTAGTATACAGCAAGGTTTTCTTATCCCTTCATTTTGCATGAAATGCTAACTACTTTTTGTGGGGGCCAAAAGGGTAGCTAGTGCTAACGAATTTTTCTTAATTATGTATCCTTTTTCAATCAATCTCTAGCCAATCTCTTTTCTAGATTTGCTGTGGCGCCTTTGGTCTATACGAAAAATACAATACCAAAAAAGGGTATGGATTCGCTACGTTATTCCCCTTAATGCGCTAGTAATGCAGCAAGAATACGGCATTACTACGGTATTCTTTTTGTAATGCCGGTTTAATTCCATATTCCTCGCTAAATCCCGTAGTCATACAGTACTGATTTCACCTCGTTTTTTCGTACTGTAGTCAGCCTACCAGACGAAGGGATAGCGAAGTATAGCTACAGTGGTGATTTCGTCATATATAATCACTCGATTATCTGGGCCAGCCCTGCTAACAGCAAGCCGTCTAGCGTCGGATCCAGTTCATAAACATACATACATGTATATATAGCTTCTATATAACTCAAAGATATTTTATAGAGTTTACTTATCCCGACAATAAGTATGGTGCGCCCACTCTTAAAGGTGACGAGAATCGGGCGAAAATTCGAGGGCTTATAACTTTACCAAAAAAAAAATTAAAAAAATCTATAAATAAAAAGTGTAGTACTAGTGATGAACATTAGTTTTTATTTCCAGATTTTTGATATCTACTTTAGTTAAAAAGTTATAAGAGTTTGAAGTTGCGGATTTTTGTATGTAAAAGGCGCCAAGACTGAGCAAAGTAGAACAGTATTATACCCATTTATACCCCCTCAAAAATGAATTGCGGCAGGAATACAGCAAAGTGGCTAGAAATAAGCCCTCTCATTGGCCTTGGAGCTCACCTTGCAGCCACGATTGTTCCACTTCCAGATACCACCGTGTCACCTTTAAGAGTGTGCGCACCCCAAAATCTGTCACTAGTGCACTCTAATATTACATGTAAATGTAGCTTCGGTGTTTCTTTGACTCATGTTTTCAAGCCTCAAATCTCACTTCGACCTAATTAAATCGTGACAAAGCATGCATTCAATCCCACTGCATATTATAAACTTAGCCGACGCGTCACTCGATGTATGTTGTTCCTTTTTCTTTACAATTAACACTGCACGTAGTAACTGATAATAACCAATTAGAGGTGCTTGGTGCTCTTGGCGTTCGAGTGATTATGTATGAATGTTATGCATATGTCGATAGTTAGGTGAGTGACCCCTCAAGACATGATTTAATTCCAAAATAAGGAATGTTGCTTTATGAAGTCACCATAAATATTATATTGGGGCCAGGAATTGGTATCTAAGTGAACTTTATAGGATGTAGACGAGTTGATCTATATAAAAATTTCTAAGCCCCCCAAATATGTCGGGGCGCACATTCGCTGACATGACAAAAAGTAAGTGCTAGGAATATGTCTAGTTACGGATCTTAGAACAATTGGGTTTGTAAGAAAGCTAATCTAGATCAATGCTAAGAGCTGTTAACTTCCATTTATCATAAGCCGGAAGTTCTAAATATGCTTGCTGACTCAGATTAATTGAGTCCCCATAGTACTAATTTCCATCAAGCAGCATTTTCAAAGAAAATTCTAATATCTCATACTGCGGGTTTCTGAGTCGAATTCTGAAATTTTGCTTCAAGGGTGGAAACGTTAACGTTGCGTTGCGAGTTTGAGAAACCTACAGTAGCAAAAATCGAGGTAAAATTACTACCACAGTGCTATGGCAGCACTGCGGCATTTCAAAGAATGCCGCATTGTTAGGAGAATGCGGTTGTAAAGCGGCATTTGAAAGACTGCTCTATTCTAGAATGCCGAAGTAATGCTATAACTTACACCTGCGGATAGGTGACTCCTACGCTTACATCCATGTACTAGCAGCAAGCTAGGTTCGTCCCATCCCTTCGTGTTTTTTTTTTTTTTTGTTTAATTCATTAATTGCATGCACCCATCCCTTCGTGTGTTCCGCAGCAAGACTTAGAACTGCGGTCACCACGACCCACGACCATCATCATCGCCATTAATATCACCATCAATTACACCTTTGTCGCTCACTGCATTATCAGACAGGTATAAAATAAGGGCACATAGAATTAAAAAAATATTTTTCAAAAGTATTCACTAGATCTTTGTAACCCATCCATGAGGGAGATGAATTCATAGATCTGTTGATGAATTGAGTTATTGAGTTCGGAATCTTGGTGATGATTTAATGTAGAGTTGAGATGCTTCAATGGAGATAACCAAAACCCGAGTGTATAATCCAATATTGCATGTATTCATGCATTCACACTAGTCATATGGCATAGAATTTGGGCAGTGAAGTAAATGCCGTAGGAATACGGCATTTCTAAATCAAATACAATTCCTGTCATCAAATGCGGCAGCACTACGGGATCCACGCAAATGCCGTAGTGCTACCGTAGTGATATCACCCCGTTTTTTGCTATTGTACGTACGTACGCATACCTGTGGTCTAGTCTACATATATAAGGGTTAATTGTACACCCAGAGGGAAAAAGTGACGAAACAACGAGTGACCACAAACGCGGTTAAACAACAACCATGACTTTTGAAGGGGGGCCGTACGAGGCGTCAAATATACTTCAGAGGCCGCACCACACACCTCTTTCTCATTTTGCAGTTTAAGTACTTCTCGTCATTGGGGTTGGTGTACTTAAGTGCAGATGCTGTTTTTTCATTTTTTTCCCTGTGGATCATGTATATACTAGCTTCGGGTAGTACTATAGTGCTTTGGTCGACAATCCTCAGAAATCGATAATATAAGATGCTGATCATAGGATATATATGGTGATATACTAGAAACTGAACCGTGTCCCATTATGTAAATACTGGGTCTATGGTGCTATGCTTAGCAACGCCTGATCATATGAAGTAATATGTAGTATGAGCTTCAAGAATTACGGCATGTACTCCGTAAGCACTCGAAGGCGCTCTTTAATACTTGTAGCTTTTAAATTTGCTCTTAAGTAATTAATACATAAACTTACACTGAAGATGAGACTGTTTTTGTTACTCTAGTCGAAGTAGTTTCGTTCTAGTAATTATTTGGCGGTAAATTATACCCGGATAACTACATTACGTACTTTGCTCTTTTTCCACCTGCAAATACAAAGCACATTGATGACTAAGTAATACTGGGATTTTATGTCGGCTTAACCCTGAAGGGCGTATCCCATCACAGGGTATCACTCGCAAAACCAACCGCTGATCACAAGAATGCCTCAAACCGGCTTGACATACAGATGATTCCTCGTACAGTATACTTATATGTATATACAAGTAGTTTCCGGCCTTCGGCCGGTACTATATGTGTATCAACCAGTCCAATATACAGACAAGCCGCTTTGCGGCTTATTTTCTCTATTTGCCTGGCAGGCAAAGTCCATCACTATATCTAGATCTGCTCTGGTCGATATTTGCCTTTTCTGATATCCCCCATATATCAGTGGATAGGTTAGACAATTTCTGCAGTTCAAGCTGCAAGTATATCCCTTTAATAGCCACCAAGCCGCTAAAATCGAACTACTAATCGACTCCCAGAACCAGTATATAGAAAACCTGTTAACAATCTAACACCACTCAGTACAACTAATACTCTATGTTAATATCCAACACAACATGTTTCAAGTGAAACAAAACCTCTCTCAATGAACCAATCTGAAGTCTATAAAAGTACATTACATATACAGGTTATAATTATATACTTATTAGATATATTGTCACCCGGCAGTACATTGCAGAACTGAATGTATACATCTGTATGTATGTAACTAGTTTCTAGATCTTTGCTTTACCGCCTTTAGCCTATATAGAAGCTACGTGTATCACATTTACGTGCACCGTTTAGCCTAGTGTCAAAACTTGCTACCTTCGAGCTTCACATGCATATAGTAGTGAACCCGGCCATATAGATTGTAAAATTTACCAAATAGAAACAGCTTGGCCGTCAGAATGAACAGTGTAAAGGAATATAAGTATACAGAATAAAATATTGTAAGCAGAGTTTAAGAAGAAAATGAAGTACTATAGAGAAAAGAGTACTAATACCTAGAAAAAAAGAAAAAAACTTAAATACAACTGACCAGCCAAACCTATAACCCGTGATAATCACCTCCTACTCATAAGTATAATACACAAATAGCCTTCCAAAATAAAAGAAAAAAAAAAAAAAAAAGATCATAATTCAAAGGCACCAAAGAAAAAAAAAGAAAATCGTCGATTTATAGAAAAAAGAAGTGTGTAAACTCAAAACTACCAGCGGTTTTGTAGCCACTGAACCTCCGATGGATGTGGTGGTAAAGGTGGTTCTGGCCTCGCGGGCGATAATGCATTTTCCACGGCTAATGCATATGAAACTCCATCTTCGGAAACGTAGGATGGCGGCCGTGGTGTGTTGTGACTACCAGGACTTATTGGCTCTCTACCTTCAGGTATTGTAGATTGTTGCATGCTTGTTCTTCGTACCCAATAAAATTGATTCGGGTTCACTCTCACACTAAAATTATTAAGATGTTAACAGAGCACCACTGTAATTTTAATGGTAGATTTATCACTTACGAGCACCTCCACAACCCGTAGACTGGTGGTGGTAGCTTCGTTAAGTCAGGTTCAACGCCGTCAACATCTTGATCAAAGGCTGTTTGTATCCTAATTGGTTCCTGTGGGTTTGCGTATCCATCTGGTCCAGATACTGA